TATATATATATATATTTTTTTTTTTCTATGTCTTACAGGCATTTTGATTTTCTTCATTAATTTACTAAAATGAAGGAGGGCTCCCTTTGTCCAATAGCTTATGCAAAAAGAACCCTTTGGATAAGCATTGACTGAGTATAAGCAATGTTTCTATCTTATGTATATACTTATGTATATATTCATGTGTGTTGTTTCCTGCGCCCTTGGCTGGGATCTCACCCCCTGCCTTTGGTTCTGCGCGTGGAATCTGCATGTTCTTCCCATGGTAGCGTGGGTTTCCTCAAGGTATTTTGGTTTCCAAAAAAAACATGCTGCGTTCCAAATTGGCGTAGTGGGTGTGCGGGTGAGTGCCCAGCGATGGACTGGCATCCTGTTCGGCTTGGTGTTCTCCTGTCTTATGCTGAAAATAGGCTTCAGACTCCTTCTAACCCTATGCTGGGTAAGCAGCACAGAAGATTTATGGATATACAATATACAACTCTGGAACCGCGCTGTATTTTTTTTAAATCTGCATTTTAAGAATCTGGTTTAATCCTGGTTCTGCTGGCAGAAGGCAGGCTCCTTTCAGGCTGAAAGTTACAGCAGTACACAAAATAATGTGGCAATGACCAACAACCAGCCAGGTAGAGGACAGAAGCGACTTTATAATGGCACAGATGACCGTCAACTTATCCAGTAGTGCCTCATAAATTGCAGAATGACCTCATGTGACCTTGAAAAAGAATGGGAAACATTAAGTGGTGTGAAGTGCCATACTAGGACAGTTTTTATCAGGCTCCTAGAAGCAGGACTAAAGACCACTGGGAAGAAGAAGCCCTTCATCAATGAGAAGCAGGGAAGAGCCAGGCTGGAGTTTCCAAAAAACTGTATATTTGACACAGGTGCATACCCATAAATTTGTATTCATATCTTTGTTTGGACTCTCCATTCATTTCTATGGGGAAAACTCTAATCATTCATATCTATGGGGAAAATGCTAATGCTCCGCCTCTTTCATATACCCAGCCTCAGCACGTCTGCGGGTCCGTGAGCAGGGCCCTTAACCCCCAGCTCCATGGGTGCAACTTCGGGTGGCTGCCCTTCGCTGACAGCTTACTCTGTGAAGAGCAAGTAAAGAAAATTTCCCCACGGGGACAATAAAGTATTGCTTATTATTTTTTTTATTATCATTATTATTATTATTAACTATGACAACCTTAACCCCTACCCAGTCATAACCATAACCATAAGTAACCAAACAAAATTCAAGAGTTTTTGCATTTTTAGTTTTGTCATTGCAGTCACGGATTTTATAAAATACACTTTTCCCATATGGGGACCAGGAAAATGGTCCCCATAAGGCAACAAAAATGTGTATTTATCAAATTGTGGGGACATTTAGTCCCCACACGGTAAGGTATACCTGGACCACACACACACACACACACACATTTTGGCTCACCTATCTAAAAGGGACCTTTTGTATAACCATTCTGTATGCCCAGTCTACTGTCTATGTTTAAAATCTAACTGGCCAATGAAAAGATGTTTTATGAAGTCATCTATTTAACTAGTATTTATGTTTGTACTAGTTAGCATTTGTATTCATGATGGTCACTTGTATACTGCAGATTACTTTATATCACAAATTTTAACAACAACGTTGACAGCTAGCTGACTAATACCATTGTTAATTGTGAATATAAAGCGAGATTGGTTTGTATTTTGTTGACACTGACATATTTGCGATCCACGTGAGTCCATTTAAAACATTAAACCATTCAGTGACTGCTGTGTAAAGATTGGATTTTACTTTTTGGTTCTAAGGCTCTCTCATTACATTGTTTTGCATTGATTTACTTTCTAAAGTAATTTTACTGAAAATGGGTTTTTTCACACACCTATAATAATTGATATTTGGACATAGATGTTTATCTTTGGACAGGGGTGATGTGTTGAACTGACTGTAGTGCTCTAAAGTTTGTTGGTCACACTTGCAGGGGTCTCAAAGGAAGACGCAGCTCATTGACACACAGTAGGAGCCGCCATATGTGCAATTCCTACATCCCATTTGCTTCTCTGTACTTACATGCACTGTTGAACAGATGCATACTGCTGGGCGTTTCTTGGGCTTTCTTGGATGCATTAGCCATGAATAATCGTCCCCTTTCACTGCCCGTGGGTGCCTCTGCGAGAGACTCACGATCTCCCGTGCGTCTGTCACCCTCTTGGCCAGGCTGAAAGTGATAACGCACACCTGCGGCCAGTCAGGCAAACCGCCCCCAGTCTCTCCCAGACCTGACCATGCGAGCCATGGGCGAGCGCTGAAGGCCACGCAGCCAAGGGGGGAAACAGGCCTTATTGCATGAGGCGGGAAGTGATTGAGGACCCAAAATTGGAACACATTCCGGAGCCCTTACCAAAATTTAGGGGGCTGTAAATCTCACCACTCTTGAGGGGAAGGAACAGCTGGCAGACATTTCATTCAGCGACCGTGAAGCCACTACTCTGTGAAGGCGGGAATGCCTGTTTCCCCGGCAATGAGTCTGAATCCGACGTGAGCGGAATTTTCCTGGTCTTCCTTCACTACACCAAACGTTTTTATTATAATGCAAAAAGTGATATGCTTTGGCAGGCCTGTGTTCTTTTCCAAAACCTGAAACATCAAAACGCAAAGCCTTGTCTTTTTATTGATTTTCCTGTACCATTTCCTTACAATAGTGCTTGATGATTGTTTTCTGTCCGCTTTAGCCTCATTCAGAATGCAATATGGCACTCAGATGTCCACTGAGAGAAATACCAGAGTTGTCACTGCTTTGCCTCTGATTTGTCAGGTTCTGTGGTCGGCGGCCATTTTCTGGCATCGAACACAGCACAGGTCCAAGGTTGAATTAATGTTTAATCCATTGACTTGTCCACATGAAGTATTATGCTCCTTCTGTTGCCTCGACTGTCCTATGCCACAACTGATCAAGATAGCTATATTCTGTTGCTATATCTAGTCACTTCATGAAGCAAGAAATAAGAAATAAACTATCCCAGACTTCTTTTATTCTGCTTAGAACACTAAATATTGGGAGTCTTTTGCTTTGTATATCCTATATATTTTAAGTACACTTCACTCGATTTAGTTTTAATCTAACTCTGCATAGTTATCCTAGTCCCGTTAGAGTGGCATGGCGCAGGCGGGAAAAAGGTGATGATCCACCGGCAGCTCCGTGACAAAAGGGGTTAAGTAACATAAAATAGAATACACTGGGATAAACAATATCAAACTAAGGATGAACCAAAACAGAGACGCAAAGGACTAATAAACACTAGGAAAAACAGAAAACCAATAAAAAAAAACAGGTGAGGCTGACCTGAAACCCATGACTGCAGGGTTACAGCCTTTTTTGCCACATGTTCAGCCCATTCAGCTATGTTGTGGTCCAAGCAGCTGGGGAAACACACAAGGGTCTAGTGCAAAGACAGGAAGGAACAGGATGGCCAGCAACACCTGCTGGCCAAGCGTGGAAGTGACATAAAGATCAGGGACGGACGGTTACTGACACTGACAAGTCCTACATAACAGCACTTTTGTAACATTGTGAGACAAGCAATGGTACACATATTATTGGGAACGATAGACAGGAATGCACAATGAAACAGGGGCTTGAAACACCTACTCTCAAGGCCAAGCCGCGTCCCAAAACAATAACGCATTATTCCGATGAGAGTCTGACTCAGTTTCGACACACTGGATCTGTGTTAAATGTTAACTTTTTCAACTGGAAAAAATGTAACTTTAGAAAAAACAGCCTTGTTTTCCAGTAATACAAAGTGATGATTGAATGAAGGGGACTCAGGTTAGATTAAGGTCTATAGATGCAGTAATGAGGGCATGTGAGGATATTGGGCCTAAAAAAAAAACATTATGACAGGGCACAGCAATTAGAAGTTGCCAGGGCAACTGTTTCTGCGGCTTCCGGCTACAGCTTGTCTTCCTTGTTCAGGCACAGGAACAAGCAATAAAAGCATACGGCAGTCCATTCACATAAGCAGTTTCTCCGTGCCAAACGTGATTGCAACCTCGCTGTGCATAAAAGGGTCTGCCGGCACTTCAGAATAGAGCGATTCTCCTTGGACGCCGACGCGGATTTTCAAAGTGCGTTCAGAATGATCAGATATGCATTTTAAAATAATGCCGTCCGTATGCTGGAATATAGCGCCTCACATGAACTTTTTACATCCGCGTCAATATTAGCTCCAAGTCTTCGACTCGCACATGTTTGCATAGCGGCTCAGGTGTGAATCAATGTAGCGCAGGGTAAGAGAGAGGCCTTAGAACTCACCTGTCATAATGTGGCGCAATCGGTCTTAGCGGAAAGGGGGGCAGAGACCCATGGGGAGACTCAGCCCTGTAGAGGCTGTGTGAAGTGTTGGTCTTTATCTTTGCTCAGAGTTGATCCCGGCTAGGGAAAAGGTAGAGGGCTGTAAAATTGAAAAAAGAAATACATCAAAGAGGGGTAATGAACCTTGTCCAATCCCAGCCCAGCGGGCTAAAGAAACCGGGAGAATTCTGATGAAGCCGTCGCTTGGAAGAGCGATGGTCAGATCAGGTGGAGAATGTGGGAGGTGGGAGGCAGGTGCTTGACATCGCTTCTCTGTTTCTCTTTCATTTTCTGGAATTTCAACCGCAGGAACCTTTGGTGATACAGAGTCGAGGCTTCAGTGGGACGCGGCAGCCCTTAAATATCCGGGAGGGCCCCCTACACCTCATTAAGTCAGCACTAACTTTTAACTGCAGGAGATCAGAGGCCTTCTTGAATTTATCAGAGCAGTAGAGAACCCTTCACCCGTCACTTTGCCTGAGCCCTTTGCTCAGGATGAACTGACTGCATTAAACACTTGCTTGTAGCTTATGATTCAACACAGAGGAAACAAGTCGGGGTAGATTTTTCTGATATAAGTTTGCTATTGTAATACATGCCTTTAATTTGTTTAGGGAGGTGATATCCATTGCTGATTATGCCTTAGTCATTTAGCATTTGAGAACAATGACAAGATGTTCTCAATAAATATAAACAGCTAATTTAGTAGTGCATAATTATGTATTACAGCAGTATGGCAGAATATTTAGCAAGTAGCTCTCACACCTACAGGTTTTACACGCACATCCCTGAATGTCACGTGTTTTCCCTGTGTTCCACTTAAATAACTGAAATATAGATGGATTAAAAAGCAAATATTTATGTTTTATCATTATGTGTGATTTTTTTTTTGTAAATTGTACCTTAGTTAAATTAGAACAAACGCATGTTAGTCTAATTTTAGTAATGAAGTTCATAACCAAGTGTTTTCCAATGACTCACTGTAATTCTTCCAGGAAATCAAAAACAGACATCAAACAACGAACAAGCAAACAAATAAAAAATGCTCATTGATCTAGGGTGAGTGATCGGGGGCCCTTTTTAGAGGCGGGGGATTGGGAGTTCACTGATTTGGCCAACAGTGTCGGCTTGCTGGATCACATCAACACATGGATCCATTCCCTTTCACAGCTATAGACATAATCAAATCTAAATGCTGTACTGTCAAGGATAAGTTCCAGCTACAGTATATGAAGCTTATCCACAGCTTGACCAGGGTTAGTAAGAAAGCGATGGGCTTTTCTCTGATTTATTTCCCAATCTCTTCACATTTATTCCCCTCAGAAACAAATGCATTCTGTTGACCAATGTTTATCTTATCAATATACCTATGAACTGTGGAATGTATTTACATTTTGCGCCCTAAAACTCTGTGAAGGGAATCTGTGAAAAGAACTATTGCTCAAACTTGGCCAAGTGTTTTTAACTTAACTCCTTGAGCGTCACTGATGTGGGCCTGTGTTACAAAACTGGTATTGACTCTTAGCGTTTATCTGTGATTTCCTAGCCAATCGCAGGCAGCCAAAGCTTTAATGACACAACTAGTGCTACTTTGTATGGAGATGGAAAAAAATGTCATTGTCAGGCATTGACTGCTGGCAGTGCTGAGAGAATATTCACCATCTCCATTCATTTATGTAAATCGAGAAACATTTCAAATAAAATGCACGTTTGTGTGGAATAAAAATCCCTTTGTGCCATGGTCTGACAGCACACAAAAACTGCCAGCCTTGTGAAAGCATCTCTCTCAGCTATATCTCAGACAATCACACCATTCAACAGCATACTGGCTGATGGGGCCTTGGAGAATCCAGTACAATTTTAATGATGACTGAGGTCAAAAAAAAGAAAAGAAATATGTACAGTACTCCTCTACCACTTGGTGATTTTGGTTGGCTAAGTGCTTTCAAGATCTCAAGGTAATATCCCTCTATAGACTTTTCATATATATTTTTCTTCTTAATTAATATCAATGTATTATTGTAATATTTTTTTAGTTGGGTTAGTTGTATAATAGTAAATTCATGCCATACATTCCCTGTTGGAACATGAATTTCCACATATTTATGGGCTTTCGGGTCCAGAAATGACACCAACGAGCTCAAGAGATTCTGTCAAAGTCCAAATATGCTGCTTCATTCATCCTGAGAGGATGCTTAGTGGGAAGTAGATGAAAGTACTTCACTCTTCTTATATATAAAACAATCCATTTTTAATGGTCTAGCTGTTTTTGGATTCTTACTTGGCTGCAAAGCTTAACATTAATTCCAAAACACAAGGTAATCATATATTAAACCTGAAATAGAAGTGGACAAGGTGATTGTTCTGTTATCCAGGATACTCATTCAGAGTCCTCCTTTCTCACGCCTTGTTCAGTAACTTGTCTTTTTTGTGTTTCATTTTTGGGTTACAATGAGTCATTGATGTATTATATCCATGTTGCAATTTCTACATAAGAGGTAACATCCTGTTTCTTCAAACCACTGAGATGCTGCATTTGCAGAAAATGTTGCATTTTCCCTGAAACTGTCATAAGTGGGTCAGTTTCATAACTTGATATATTTTCACGTGGAAGTAAAATTTGATTGTGTCCAATACTTGTATGGATTTTGAGGTAGTAGATAGTTCAGAAGATTGAACTATGATTGAAGATCACAGCAGTCTTGGAGTATTTTGGTTGAATTCAGTACATATTTTTTCTAATGCAATTGTGGATAGGTGCTGTAAATTATTTTTTTAATTAAATAAAGGAAGAAGCAGTAGTCCAGAACTAACTCTAAATTAGACGCTTGTAATAGTGGAACTGATGTTATGCTGAAGTTTATATTATATAACACCCACTTTTTCACAGTTTTGAGTTTCTGTTCTTTGTTTGATACTTCTCACATTCTAAATCTTTGCACTATGACCTCTGGATTTTATGGGGAAAATAACATTTCTTTTCTACCATGTTGATAGGGTGCAAAAAGGCCTTCAAAGAATAATTCGCGAGGTCCAAATGTTTTACAGGTCATAATCCTCCACACACAAATGACAAATGGGAGTGTCAAAAAGATGAAGTCACAGTGTGGTAAAGAAACAGATGCTTTTTTCTCCTTAAGGAACAGAGAGAATGCGATGCACGCAGCCAGTAATTTGCAAGATCAAACATGAAGGTCCTGACCCCAGATAATATTTTATTTAGTTACCTGAAGTTTTCTGTATGTCACTTTCACCTTCAGATGTCAGATGGAGAAAAGTGTTGAAATGCATACAGTAGCTATGCAAGTGCATTTTTGAATTAAGTGCTTGTAAGTGCAGTGGTAACTTACGATAGGTCAGTAAGCTATGGAATGGTTAGTTTAAAAAATCCCCGTTTGCTGCAAGTGGGTTAGTTCCTTAAGTATATCCAAATAAAAATAAAAATATCCGTCTATGATATCATTCATCTATTTTATTGAAAAGTTCACATAACACATCCTAAATTATTTATGGTTTGGCCTCAAAAAAGACTGGAAAAAAAACAAAGAACATTACATTTATTTAGTAGATGCTTTTTTTCTTCTGAAATGACAAAGCAGCACCGGAAGCAACTGGGGCCCAAGGGCCTCGTCGTGTCAGCCCACTGCAGACCCTAGAATTTGAACCCCCAGCCTTCCGGTCACAGACGCAGCAGTCGAACCCCCAAAGCCACATACCAGCCAGCAGCTGAAGGATCTAGCATACTACATCTTGCATCCTAGATTTCAGGCAGTAATTGAATTAAAATACTATGTACATTCACAGCAGCTACAGATGTTTTTCACCCACTCAGGAATGCTTTGGTATTCATTTCTCCTTCTTCAACCACTAAGAAATTAATTCCATTCCCTGTGGATTATACAAATACTACATTTTGCGTTATTTAATTGGTGCACTCAACAGCATCTCCAGATGTTTGTGGCGAAGGACGTACTGGCATGTGTTTTTTTTCTTCGTTCTAAACATCGGATTGCACAATAAGTGCCTGGAGAATTCTGCAGAAGCCGCTATTTGGCTATATTAATTTCAATGAGCCTTCAGTAGCTGCTGATCTAACTGGTACTGCAGCCTACACAGCCAGCAGACTACTGTATCTCCGTGTATGTCTTCGTTTTGTATGGTAATGAAGCCTATTCCCGCAAAATAGAATACAGCAGCATCATCTGAACATATCAGTCAGTCATAACTAACAGAGTCGCTGGCACATTGGCCAGTGCTCCCTGCCTGCTTGTGCATTATATCCCTGTGTAGAGTTTGCCTGTTCATCCAGTATTTGCACTTGTTTTCATTCACGGACTCCAATTTCCTCTCCAAAAGCACGAGATTAAGTGAACTGGGACGTCTAAATCACCTGTAGTGTGTAAGTGCATATACCCTGTGATATACTATGTACCATCTGCCTAGCTTCTATGTCACTTGAGACCCAAACATCCATTAAATACACAAATGTAAAGCCTCCAGTGCATCATGCCCTGTGTTTTCTGGAGACCCGATTTTGCTGCAACCATGCAGTGGATAGATAGTTTTGGAAGATGGATTGCCTACCACACAATTAAAGGGATATATCAGCTATTAACATGCACACACAAAACAAAAGAAACAAATGTAGCTTCCCTGATCTTTGCACCTCAAATTCCACTATGGCCTTTTTACATAAGGGATGCTTTGGAAAAATTGTTGTTAAAATAGCAAATTGCCCATGTGCACTCTGATTATGTCCGCAGTTTCCATTTTCACACAGAAAATGTATTTATAGTGCTTTGATAGCAAATTCAGCATGTTCACATTTACACGTCGGATAGGGTACTTGCCATATCATCAACATAAAACAGGCAAAGAAAGCTAATTCAGAAAACTGACTTTCCCTGTGTCGTAAAGATAAGGAAACTAATTAGAAGTAGTATAAAAAGTTTTTTTTTTTTGAGGGGAATTGCTTTAGAAACTAAATAAATATAAATAAATAATACTTACAAGAATGAACAAACAAGAGAGTTCTGGTCTGAAACATTCTCAAAAACAAGGACATAGGTTTGGTTTCAACGTTGGTAGGGACCAAATCAGCCCCGAACCCCCCTCCCCGCCAGACATGCATGGTACTCACAATATCAGTGGGGACATGTCCCTGCCATTTATATCTAAATCCACACCCTGGCTTCAAAATAAAAGTTCAGTTGAAAAATTACTCATAAGGAATTAGTGTCCACTGCTGCAATGAATTCTGCGTAAATCATTTCTCCCGTTTATTCCCATGTCTTCATCAGTCAAAAATTCAGCGAGAATTGTTCTTGTCACTCCTTATTGTTTGTTTAATTTAATTTTACATTGGAGCAATTACTGGAAATGCTCAGTTAATGGAAAAAAAGCTGTTTACAGGATTGTAAAAAGGTTAAATGTTGCATTTGAGTGAAATAAAGGATTATAGGCATGAGCGGATTTTAGAAACAAACTTCCTATTGTGTTGATGATTAAACAGCTGTTTATTTACGCCCAAATGTGCAATGTCTAATAAAATTATCATGGTTTACCTAAACAAAGCTCATTGAGGAAAGTATGGTTTATAAGCCTATCATGATGAATTGCATTGAAGGAGCCCACAAAAATATTGTCAGACATGTTGGTTCATCAAGGATCTATATGTCTGCATGAGAGTTAGAGCACTTACCTATGGGAAGTTGTGTTTCAACACAATCTGTTTCCATAAACAAGAAAATAGCCACAGGGTGACATTGCCTACAATGGAGACAAATCAATATTTGTATCAGATTGGCCATGCGAGAGCAGGGCAATGTACAGCACACAGGTTTGCCAGGTTAAACACACACTGGATGGTTTAGGGAGCCATTGGGGCTCTGGCAGAACCCTGAATTGGACTGAACAAGTGGTGAATAATTACAGACTACCAAATATCTTTGTTTGACTCACAAGAATAATTGATTTTTTTTAAGAGATGATTTCTTTTCCTGCCATGCAGAGTCTCCTTCTGCCGTGATCATGGTGGAGCCGGACTTCCACCAGGTTCTAAAAAAAAAGTAATTAATTGGATCTGATTAAAATTAATGAAGTAATTAAAGAACTGCCTGGCCTGTTTTTAGTGTCACGCAATCACCCTGCAGTGATGGAACAGGGGTCCCAGGTGGCTGTACGGGGAGTGGTTGAAATAGCTTTGCTGTGATTGGTCCTCTGTCAATCTGAGGCTGTAAGGCCAGGGGGCCCCAAACCTGCAGCTGTGGGAGGGGGGGGCTGACATCTCTTTTATATAATCTTATAATGGCTCGCAGTGGATCAGGTATACAGAATTATATATTTCTTTTGTCGCCAAGTCAAATTGAGTGCTTGACAAAGACATGTGAACTGAACTGGAAAGCCATGCCCTTTTGTATCCATAGTAATAAAAAAAAATTAAATTAAAGAAAAATTTAAATAGCACCACGTCAGCTTTGAGCTGACCAAGCGTGATTTGACAAATCACCATAAAACAAGCTCTCGCAGCTCAGATTTCGAGAAATAAACACGCAAACTTTACAATGTACAAGGGAAGGAGAGATAACCAGAAGACAATCCATAATGTCAGAAGTGAATATATTTCTGTGACATGCACTGTATACACGGTTAACAGTAATAATTATGAGCTGAAAATGGAGGAAAATGTAGCAAAAAATGATTAAAAGGGTAAAATCTGATAGAATCATTTCACTATTTCTGTTTCTGCCCGTACGTTTCCCTTTTGTTTAGCACACATGAAAAGAAATGACTGTATCCATGTTATCACAGTATTATACAATACAAATGTTCATATTTCATTTAATTATAATAATTTCTAATTAAAATGAAAATGATTTAACTGATCATTCCCATGCGACTTTCAGGGCTGCATAACAGTAGAACATGAACGTACCTCAGACCTCGGGGACGTTGTACAAATGGCCTGACCCTGCATTCAGATCCCAGGCTTTGCCCTCACCTGTATGTGTGTGTGCGTGTGTGTGTGCGCGCGTGTGCGTTCGTGTGTGTGTGTCACAGGAGAGCAAGAGGGGATATGCAAAAATAAACATTCCAATGTAGCTGTACAAATAAAGCATCTGTCCATTTTCTGCACCTGTCCGGGTTACGGGGGTTCAGATCGTAGACACAAGACAGGGAATAACCCAGGACGGGGCACCAAGCCATCGCAGGCGGAGGACACACATCATTCACATTTATGGGCGATATGACAACTCCGGCGCACCTTAGTACCTTTTTGGACTGTGGGGGGAAGGTAGAGGAAACCTGACAAGAACACAGGGCAAACATGCAAAGTGCACGCACACACAGAGCCATGGTGGGGACCTGAACCCTAATCCCAAAGGTGTGAGGCAATAGTGCTAAAAACAGCAGCAATCATCAATTAAAACATTCCTGACACTGTCACCTAGCACTGCTCGTCACTGCTCTGTGTCCCCCTCTCCCCCCAAGACGCAGGGCACCAAACTTGTGTGGGGCAAAGCCTCTGACTTTTACAGAAGCCAGACTAAAGCCTGGCCCAGAGAAGAATTCACGGCTCGGTCGGCCAAAGCATGTGTCTCACAGATAAGACAGATCACTGCCCCCAGACCTTGGCTTTGCACCAAAGACATGTAGCTGCCCAGCAGGACTGCGGGGGAAAAAGGTAAAAAATAAAAAAAAAGTTCTGTCTTCTAAAATTTCAACTGCAAAATGGATATAAAGTTCCCTCCGTGATGTCCCAGGTGCCGCAAAATGTATTAGTTTGAAAAAGAATACATTATATTTGCCTTTAGTTTACAAAAATTTTAATTAAGAATAACCAGACTGGATTTTTTTTTTTTTTAATATATAAATATTTGTTTATGGTGCCAGTTTAACAGTCAACAGTTAACAGTTTAACAGTTTAGTCAGGTGTTCATAACAAATATTATAGAAATTCACAAACTGGCTGTCAACTAACAACTTTCCCCTTCCAATCTCATTCCAGATCTCCACTTTCCCTTGCGATGAGCTTAGCTGTTTCTGCACCTAGGTATCAGCATCTGATATTTTGGTCAGAGCTACATGTTTTCGTCAGCTCAGGAATCTCTAATCAGGACATGCCTGCCGATCTGTAAATATGATAACGCCTAATGAGATCACCTCAGAAGGGAGGCTGTGCGGTGTAAACGGAAAGCCAGTCCCGCGTGACTCATTTATTCAAAAAGACTTGCATACAGCTTACACATGACATTAACCGGCAGAACATTTTGCTGAATTAATTTATTTCCTCCCCATCCTTTCCACTCTGACATTTTCTTGGCACTTCCTCAACTGGGATATCCGTTTACCCAGAAAGCACTTGGGCGTCACGTCCATGACCGCTCTGTCCTTCATTGGCGTAATTATACTTTGGTTTGGCATGGCTGGTTACAGCCCTGGAAATAAGAATAAAACTACTGAACAAACAAACCTCACTTTCTTTTGCCCTCAATGCCTTCTGCTGACTCACAAGTATTGCATTTCAAAGTCAGTTTTATATATTGTTTCTTATATTACGACTAAGACTAAGACTAAGAGTTATTTTTACACACACTTTCAGCCCACAGACCTCGTTATATTTCACCCTAAAAAAGAGTTTTGATTGTTAATATTGAAGTTCTGATGTTTTCCTTTCCTCTTTCTAGTGGTTTTACTTATTGACTTGTCATTTTTTTTTCTCGGTTGGAAAAAATCTTAAAATATTGATAACAGTGTTATGACTATATTGGTCTTATTAGTGCTGTGTCCCAATATTGCTGTAATAGTCTTTGTCCTTGTAACAAAATGTCCTTACTTCAGTACTTCAGTACTTGGGGGATGTAATTGCTTTGGGTTAAGGAGATGGCTGTTGTGGAGTTGATGCAATGGAAGGAAATGGAGTAGCTGTTAAATACCTCCTGCCTTGAATATTAATTAAAACACCGTTGACCACCTGTCTGTTTGACGGGACGTACGCCACTAAGGTAGATCAGGTCGGATGACGTAGCGTTGACAGCGACACTGATGGAGGTGAGCAGAGAAAAGCACACAACCACGTGGGCTGTCATTTAATACGTGACAATATTAACGCGGAGCTTTGCCTGAAATAAAGGTATCACTCCCGCTGGTTTATGGCTTCGTTTATTTCTCCACCGGCACCCATTATGACTGACTGCGGGAGAAGCTGGAGAGCAGAGGCAGTGATGGCACAGAGAACTAATTAAATGTTTAGCTAAAAACACTCCGCTGTCCTCGGACGAGCTTTCTCTCAAGCCCTAGTACATGACACCTTCTCCAGTCGCACGATTACGCAGGTTTGAGTGGCAGGACGGGAGGTGTGAGGGAGTAATTGTTGCCTGTGTGAAGCCAGGTGTGCGTGACCCCGCGTTCACCCTGCGATCCTGTGTGTTTTGAAACAACATGCTTGCAAAACTCAGTCTCCCAGTTGTGAGTGAAGCAGACACCCAGTTAAGCAATGTAACAAAGAGGGGTGGTCACATCCAATCTGATTGCGGGTTTTTCCTCTCTTCCCTTTTTGGTTCGGGCCTACCTTGAAATCAAACCTTGAGCACGAAAGGCCTAAAATTAGATTCAATATATTATTTTCTACATAAATGCTTCACTGATAAACTGCAATGCGTTCTGGAGAACTGAAACGGTTTAAAAGTGACAGATGTGGCATCTTAATTTTTTTTAAAAGTATTTGAATAACTTCATGCATATCATTTAGGTAAATTTCCATTCATGTAGATTAATCCTCTGAGGCAGAGGATCTTTCTGGTATATTAAAGAAACTGTACTATGCTGTTCTTGATATTAAAATACTAGGAAGCCATTTTTCACATTTTGTGAAAAAGAAAAAAAAAAACTGCGTAAGCGAGTTTCTCTGTCGAAAGAAGAATCCTGCATCACTTAACATGCAAATCAAAAACTGCGACCTTGTGATCGGTGGGTTTGTATTGAAACAAAATCAGACATCACATGTAAAATCTAGTCTGGAGGAAAATGAATGGAGGAGTGATGAAAAATTTATGTCAACACCGGTCATGGAGAAAGGCAGAAAAGATACAGAGAAGATCTTTATTCCTACATCATTGATTATACTTCAGGCTATGATAAAGTAAAGCATGAATAAGTTATGCACACACTCATTAAGGTGGATATTGGCATTTCAGGCTAATAAGGAAGATGTATATTGAAATTAAAAAGCCACAAGGAGGACATAGTGAAGATACTGTAGGTCAGTGTTTCTCAATCCAGTCCACGGGGACCTCCAGCCAGCCCACGTTTTTGCTTCATTCCAGCTCCATACCAGGAGCTGGGTGGGAGCAAAAACGTGGACTGCTGGGGGTGCCCAAGAACCAGGTTGGGAGACAGTACTGTTGATCAATACAGCAGTAATTAGGACAGCCCCCCGTCCATGTTTTTTTATATAAATTTTCTTTTTACATGACAGGATGTTTCCCACAGCATTTTGACGGCAACAGTCATATTCCCATGACCAGTAACTCAATAGTCTGTTAGTACCAGGCACACATGAATGGTTAATTTTAAGTCTGTGAATGTCTGAATATCAGATTGCCAGAGTACAAAACCAAAATACTACTCAGATTTAGTTTCTCTCACTTTTTCTACATCTTTTTTTTTTTTTTTTTTTGCTTGGGGGTCATGTGGTGGCCAGTCCCACAGCTGAATAATAACTCTACAGCACGTTTCCTGGGGGCGCAATTCGCCAGTGTTAAGTGCATTTGTCTGTGAAAGCGCTGAGATTACAGGAACTATTAACGGCGCTGCAGAGCTCATTAGGTTTGCAGCAGATTTCCATTTGCCGTGGTCAAAACATCAGCACAAAATGATAGATCTATTTTTCCTTTATCACAGCAGCCCACGTAGCTGATGTTTAATGGGTGGGGGGCTGGCAAGGGCCATAATTAACCCTAAAACAATAATTGGACAAGGCCATTGCACAGCATTTCCTCCTTCACTTAAATGCTAGTGGTGGCTTGTCACTCACGAGTTCCCACATGCATTTGCAC